GAACTTAATTAACCAAACATTTTTGCATGGCCATGAAGAACAGCAGCCACACCCTTTGAACAGGTGCTGATGCTTCAGCAAAGCCAGGAGCTGAAATATTTTTGGAGTTGAGTTGGTGCTTTTTCTGGCTCCTGGTAAGTTTTGGATTTAAATCCACTGAGCACAATACAGTGAAACCACAGGTGATTGTTGGCAGTGTGCAGTTGCTGGGGATGTATTATGCTTTTTCAGTCTGCAAAGCTTAGCAGTTTCCTGTGGAAAGGAAGGGGTGTATTTATCATGGAAGTACCACACCTGGGCCAAACCCAGGGCTGCAAACCTGCAGGGATCTCCTGCTTCTTTACCACTCTTATTCTGTGCAGCTGGGGGAGCACAGCAGGGGCTCCCATCCCCCTTAGGATCCTTTTATTCTGCCAGAGCAATGGAAAATCAGCCTTGGGAGAAATTCATACCCAGCCTTTTGTGGCGGGCCTGGTACCCACAGAGCAACACTGCACTCCAAGTATTTGGGGGGGAAAACAGGTTTGAAAGATCCTTTATTTATTTCTGTAATATAAATCTGTATTGTTAAAAATACTGAAATGAGTGAGTTTTGCATAATCCATTCTAATTCTGCTGCTCCCACTGCTAGAGAAGATCTGTAGATTGAGTTCAATACGCTTTGGATGGAACATGAAAACCCCCGTAGGTCGTATGACAAGATAAAACCTGAGATAGGGATGTTAACATGCCTGTGCAGGTATGGTTACAGTGCCCACAAAATCTGTTTGGATTGCCCTCGTCACTGTTAATGGAGGTATTTTCTTAGAGATCATCTGAAGAATTGAAGTAATGACTCCATCCACTAAAGGATGTGTTTAGAAATGCTGCTCAGGCAAGCACAACCATGTTAAATACAGAGTGCACATGGGGAATTTAGGCTTAATCTGAGCTTCCAACTCCAGCATTAAAAACCCTCCCAAGAGGAATGACCTTTGCAGCCTGATACAGCTGCACTGAAAAGCAAAGCTCCCGCAGTCTGCAACTGGAATACTCCTCAGTGAAGTTTTAATGTGATTCCTGAGAGATCATTTTGAGTCAGCAGTTACTGAAATGCTTTATTTATTGTTCTTCTCAGTGCCCAGACCAGTCGTGCAAACAGGATTTACTGGCTTACCTAGAACAGATCAAGCTGTACTCACATCAGCTCAAAATCTGCAGCCAGGTTAAAGCAGAAATCCAGAACCTTGGTGGAGAGCTCATCATGTCTGCAGTAAGTAGAAAAATGGCATCAAGCACTCTCTTAGACTGTGTGTTACATTTGAGTTGGGTGTGCCTGTGCTTGCTGTGTTCCAGTCACTCCAAATCCTGTCTCCCTCTTCAACACCCACTCAACAGCGAGACTCTGCCAAAGTGGAGCGCAAGACTTCTGGCTTTAAAGGAAAAACACTCCCTTTTTCTTTCTAACACTCCCCTTTTCTTTCTAAGTTCTCAAAGCATACTGTGGTACTGCTGTTACTCAAGGAGCTGGGTTTGAAGAACTGGAATCCACTTGAAAATGTGCTGCATTGGCTTATGCAGCTGGATTATGCTTCAGTGTGTCTGAACACAATGAAAAGATGGCAGGGGTGGAGTTCCAGGCCAGGATAAAAATGCTGTGGGGCACCCAACAGGTCTGCAGCAATAAAAAAGGAACAGCAAGGTGGTGCTTCCCAAGAGGGGTATGTGGGTGATGGACCCCCTGAGGTATGTGCTGTAACCTTCATGTGTTAGAAACGGGCTCAGACTTTGTTTTTCCACCCATAAAGTTGAGCCCTTTATTAAACCAAAAAGAAGAAAACACCAACAGAAGCAACAGAAGTGTGGGGATCAGGCTGGACCCTGTGACAGCAATGCCGGACACTCTCCCACAGGAGGACCCCAAGTGAAGCCCCACCACCCCTTTTATAGACCCTCCCCCTCATCCATGACTGGTCCATTAGCATGGTGCACTCCAGACCAGTCATTGTCCCAGGGCATCGAGTGATTGGTTGTCTTCTCCACCAGTGGATGTTTCTGGTGCAGACATCACCCCAGAGAGGTCACGTTCTGGAATGTTCTTTTAACTTGCTGAACCTTTCTTACCACCATGCAGTACCTGACCAGCCCTGGATCATCCCCATCTCCACCTGACCACCTCCCACATCAATCACAGACCTCACCCACTTCCCTTAGAAACCCATGGGAACCCTAACTCACTAACAACAAACATTAACTATGGGCTAGAAACACTTGATAGTAAATAACTATTAACTTGTAACCCAACATTAACAGTAAATTCAACATGTTACATCAATAAGTTCACATCTAACCCGAGGGTGAGGGACCCCGCAAGGCACACGCAATAACTTCAGCAGGGGATGGATCCTGCAGTCCAAATACAGCAATGTGTGAGGCACTGCTGTGTGTGAGGTAACAGCTTTATCTCTACCCATCACCAGCCAGCTGTGCACATCTGTCTCTGGGCATCCTGCTCCAGAGCTGTCCCTATGGATCTGTACCGAGCTCCACCCATCTCTATCAATTATCCACTTACATCTACCTCAGGTTATCCGTCTCTCTTTCCTTGTGTCGTCCTGTCTGTATGTACCTGTACCTCTCTCTGTACGTGGCTCTGGCTCTACAGCTCTCTGTATTTACCTGTACCTGTACTTCTCCCCATGTGTGTCTATCCAACTGTAGCTCTGTCTGCCTGTCTTTTCCTCCCAGCACTTAGCTGTACCTGTCCATAACTATCTACCCCAGCAGGATGTAGCTCTACCTGTCTAAACCTGTCTCTACATTTAGCTGTATTTAGCTACACCTGTCTGCACACACCTGTACCTGTGTATCTATAGCTGTCATTAGTTACCTGTACATGTCTCTGTCCAGCTACACTTACTGCACCTGTCCTCATGTGTATCACCTTCTCTGTACAGTGTCAGTATCTGACACAAACCCTGTCAAAGATCTGGCTCCATCACTGCCACTATCTCTGTCAGAATCTGCTAAAATGGTGCAGAATCTGTCAGGATCTATCTGTACCTGGCACTGTGTATACCTGCCACTGCCTCTCCCTGTCCAAGGAGTCTGTCCTTACCTGTCAGTACCTGGCACTGCCCATCTCTACCTGTCCAAATGTGTCACCTCTCTCCATCCATCCAGAGCTGTCAGTCTCTCTACCTGGCCCTGTCTGTCCCTCCCTGCATCTGTCTCTACCCACACCTTGCTCTAGGGCTGTCTCCTCTACCCATCAGTATCTCCATCTATTTCTGCCTCCTAATTCTCACTAAAATATTATTAAATGTTATATGGTTTATAAACTGACCAGAAATTAAACCTTTGTTGCTGAGGTGAGATTGGAAACATTTCTATAAGGATACTAGTGCTGGCTATTCAAATGGTAATTTAGACACCACCTCTGGAACACACAGTTAATTTTAATTTAATGTCTGATTTCTGAAGCAAATGCTTGTTGTCATTGGGGCTGCACATTAGCAAAGTTTCTCTTCCTTACCCATTTGTTTTCCTAAGCAGTTCTGTGACTGGTGTGGGTTTTTGCCCTTTCTGTCTCCTGCTGTAGAGTACTCACATTCTTTACCTTTTCTGTTGTGTCACTCCTGTCAACAGCCCATAAACCACCTAGTGCAAAAATTTGAAGTTCTAAAAATGAACCCCCAAATTTACCTTCACTGATAGTTCCAAAAAGATGACTGCAGGTCCTAACCCTGCTTCAAGGGAGGAGGGTGAGAATTTGTCACATGTGAATCTAGAAACTTGGAAAAAGACAACTGCACGTTCAGGTAAATGCTCAACTCACTCCTGGTTCAATACACACAGTTAGGTGGGGCTTAGTTTGGGAGTCAGTGAAAATGAAGAATGTACTCAGAGACCTGAAAGGACTTGGCATGTTCTGTGAAATCAAGGTGAGACTCTGCAAGGTTGCTACTCTCTTAACTGATTTTGAACACAGTCATTGTTGGAGCATTTTCTTTTTATTTTTTTTAATAATATGGGTGCTACATAGCAAAAAAAATCAAAAGAGACTCACCTCTCTAACTCACCTTTTAAAGACAGTAGAGACAAGTTGGTGTCAGTGGTTATGAAAAATTTCTAGAAACTTGAAAAAAAAGTCTCCCTGGTCACTGTCTTGGGAAGGGGAGGCTGTGACTGACTGTGCTCCGCTGCTCCCTGCAATTAAAACTGTCCTCATGCGAGACTGCAGCCCAACCAAGCAGTGATGGCTTTTTGTATTAATTAACTAAGTTTGAATTGCTTCCATTTTAGAATAGCAGAATTTACATTGTACAGATAAATTTCTCTCTCTAGAGGGAGAGAAATGCACTAGTGGTATAAAATGGCTGGTTATTGGATTGCTTTCCTTAAAAGCTGGAGCAAGTTCCAGCTTTGAGAGTGCATGTGGGGGCTTTGGGAATTCATCTCATGTCTAGGTTAGCTGGCCTTGGAAAAAAGTGACAAACCCAAGTTTTCTGTGGGAAAGCAGAGGGGTTCTTCTCCCTCCCCAGAAGACAGTATTAGAACTCCATCACAAAATACAGAACTGTAGCTGGAATAGGATTATATTTTATTTTCTCCCAGTCCTGATTGTCTCTGAATGAGAATCAGAAAAGGAGTCAGCAAGGATGATTAAGGAGAAAAAAAAAGAGGCCCAGCCCTGGCAGATAGAAAAGGTTTTATTGTGCATTAAGAGAAAAACTGGTGACTCTCCAAAGAACTGAAACTAAACTGATCCTCTGGTTAGCAAAAACCTGCTACAGGAGAAGAAATCTACCAGCAGGAGCATTAGGAAATAATAATCATATACTCACAGGTTCCTCCATGGTTTGCTCCCTCCTGCACTTGTGTGTGTGCCAGGAATGCCCTCCCTGGGCATCCACCCCATCCACTGCTCCTCACAGTCCCTCCCTCATCTCCCTCCTCCTGCAGGAGCTGGGACAGGCTCTGCAGCAGAAGAGCTGAGGGGAGAGCTCCTCTCCTGTGAAGAATTACACATCTCCACATTCCCATAGATCACCATCAACTTCCACAGGACAAATCCACTTGCAGAAGCAAAAGGAGAACGAGCACTGCCTGCTGGAATCCACACATCAAAGCACTGTTCTGAGATGGCTCTTACATCCACCCCTCACCTCTCTTCTCCAAGCCCTAGGACTGTGCACAAGGATCTTGGATTTAACTCACCTTCAAGGAAAACTCCTTCCCACAAGGTTCATAAAAAATAACCCAGCCAGCCTCTCTTGAAGCTGAAATGGAGAGGAAGGGAGGGAGGGATGAAGAGCAGAGGATGTAGTGTCACATATTTGCAGTTGTGTAAAAGGAAGAGCTGTCTCCTTGAAGCAGAGCAGTTGTGGATGATGCTGTGCTGGAGCAGCTGCAGGAGCCTGAGCTGGTGGTGCAGCTGAGCCCTGGATGGTGCCATGGCACAAGGGCAGCACTGTGGGTTCCTGCCTGCACTGGGGCAGGCGCTGCTGGCTGCCAGCACGCTCCACCTGGCACTGCAAGGCAACAAAGAGTGTATGGACATGAGAAATGGTGCTGAAATCCATGAGCACAGCCCAGTCCTCCTCAGCTGTTTCAGATCTGTGTGCCCTGTGCCGTGTCTGCCCTGCCTGCAAGGTTCCTTACCTGCTGTTCACACCCAGCTCTGTCATTAGTGGAGGTTAATTAGGACCCAGGGCAGCTGGGATGCTTTGTGCACTTCCCAGATGACAGATCTTCCCTCTGCTCTCCTCTCCTGCAGTGGCTTTTGGACTTCAGCCCCCATGCTCTGGTAGTTTGCCTTCTCACTGTCCAGCCCCCATTATGGAGGTTGGAAGGGGTCCTGTACAGAGAGAGGAAGAGATGTCAATCATCACCTTCTCCATTCACTGCACTTCTGTTATTTTCACTCATTAAAAATTCTTTCTCACTATTTAACAGGCCCATGGCATACAGTGAGTACTGCTGCTTGTAATCTGCAGAAGTCCAAATGGGGAGAATTCACTGAGTCTTCACTAGGAGTGATTAAATAGGAAATGGACATTTACTTCTGTGAATTAAACTGGTGCCTCTTCAGGCACAAAATAACGGGGTGAATTTGCAGTATGCAGATTGCCAGTAATTACATTCACTTAGCGGATTAGCTGTGCCCTCACAAGCACTGCACCTTACCTTGCCACCTTGTTCTTTGTCCAGCAGTGGCTTTAGCTAGAGAGAACTGTATCACAGCAAAGGAAATGGACATATCTTACCTACTAATACTGCACTCCATGAGTTTTGCCAGGCAATTCTGGTTTGTGCTATGCAGAGTTACCATCTTTTCTTCTATATTGTACTTGGCACGTGAGACAACGCTTTTTGGCCTTGTAAGGGAAGGGTTTGGAAGAGGAAGCTCTCAGGAGTCCCAGAATTTGCTAAGTGGCACAAAGTGCCCCCCAGCAGTTACCCCAGCCTCACCTGTGCACTGAGGGCTGTTTTCATCTGCTGCACCTGCAGATGTCTGTTTATCTTCAGCTCTTGCTATCTCAAGAGCCAGACTTTACCTTAAACACTGACATCAGGCCGCTTCTGTGGCAAACGGAGGTGTTTTAATGTGTCCATTCTTCAGGGATGGACTGAAGTATCTGTTTCCTTGCCTGAGTTCCCAGGCCTGATACATCACAGGTTCCAGCAGGACACTGCAATGAATGAGTTCCAGCTTTGAAGGCTGAAGCCCAGGTGAACACAGAGGCAAGGCTGTAAAAACACAAGGGAGGGTCTGTGTTCCCAGGCCTTTGGCTGTCACTGTCCCAGTCCCTGGATATTATGCACACCCCAGGGAACGGCCCCACACCTTCCCCACACTGCAAGGGCTTCAGCTGCTGCTGAGGAGCTGCCCCTTTGGCAGGGCAGGAGATGGGAGCATTTCAGCTCCTTTCAGCTTTTCCTGGCTGTGCTTTCCCCCTGCAAGAGGAGTGAGATGGGCTCAGCAGCCTTGCTGTGGCCCCAGCAGGACTGGATGGAGGGAACAAAGGGCTAAAAGCAGCAAGTTGGGAATCACACGGGAACAGGGGCTGCCCTGAGAGCCCACTCGAGTCACCACAGGTACCTGCTCTGTTCCTCTGCCTCCAGTGCTGCTGTCCTGCTCTCACTGCTGGGTGGGCTTTGGTGGAACAGCATCCCACATTCCTTCAGATCCACAGTGGCTGCTCTGCCAGAGCCCCTGAGCACAGCTCCTGCTCTACATCCCCTCTCCTGGTCTGTCTGTCCTTGGCACTTCCTGAGAGCTCTTGGTTCAGCCTGTTTGAATGGATGGGGAGGTTCATCACAGGGCCTCACAGCATGCATGAAATGCCTTACCCTAGTATTGTGCTAAACTGCCTGATTTCTAAAAGCTGACATTAACCCCAAGAGCTGACACAAGATTTTGTCTGCTGAGAGTTGACAGAAGTGCTTCACTCTGGGTTTTTTATTATATCAAGTACCACTGCACCTTTCTTCCTTTTGCCTAGCACACAGTGGTAGGTGTGTGGATACAGAAACCCAGGCCTTTGGAAGCAAAGCCAGGGACAGATTTTCCTGTCAGTCACTTACAGAGAGCTCGGTTACTATTGCTTTCTAAACTGCATCTACTGAGAAAAACTAATTGAAAGGAGCAGGAAGTGTTTCTGGTAATGTACGCTAAAGGACACCTAACTTTTCCTAGTAATAACTGCTCCTGTAATTAGCAAAACCAGGATGTGTCTCCCAGCTCTTAGCCTCAGTGTATGTACAAGATTATTGCAACAAACACTCAATTTCTTCCTCAACAGCAAGGAAAGGATTTATATTAAGCCACTGTTCTCATTTCTCAAGGGCCTGTTTTTTAAAAAAAAATTCCTTTTTTTAAAATCCTCCCTGGAAGTGGAAGCAGCAGTAGTGGGGAGGGACTGAGGCACCCGCCTGGCTGAGCATCTGCTCCATCATGGTGCTGCACAGGAACAGTTTCACAGCCCTTAATGTAACTTGTTTATCATTTAACTTGGACACCGGCCTGGGCTAATTATAGAACTCAGTTTCAGTTCTCTGAATCCTGCTTAGCCTGAAGCACACTCTGGTAATGGTTGGTTTTTAGTCCATTAGATTCAATTTCCCTGCCTCCAAATGGGACAAACATAGAACGAACCCCAGACCCCTCTGAGGTCTGGAATGCAGTCACTGAAGGACACACAGACACAGGAAACCAATGGAATGGCCACATTTGTAGGAAATCTCAGCTCCTTGAAAAGCCACTCAAGCAGTGAAGCAGATTTCTTGCGGCCACGTCCCTGGGGATGAGATCTATGCAGTATCCCTGAGGGAGAGCAGAGCTGAGCAGACACTGAGGGAACAGTTTCCAGAGCAAAGAACCACGATGGCAAAGCTGCCTTTGGCTCATTTCCCATCCCAGCTGGCGTGGGCTTGGACCTGGGCCAGTTCTGTGTTCCCTGGCAGCTGCAGGGGCACCCACGGCTCGTGACCGAGTCACCATCTTCTGGTGCCACTGTCCTGCTGATCACAGGAGCTCCCTCCCCACTGGAAAGGAATTAACACTACTCTGACTGGGGGAAAAAGGGAAAAAACAGGCAAGTAACTGGTGGTAAAATCCTGGCCAAGGCCCAGCAAGAACTCCAATGCCTTCAACAGGTGAGATTTCACTCCTAGCACCTGTTTGGATTGTTCTGCTACCTTTAATCTTAAGGGATTAAATGACTATTTTATATAGCAACCTTAGTGAGAGAACCATAAAATGATTTAAAACAGCTATGCCTAGTAAAAAAGCACGATTCAAATCAAAAGCACAATGTAGCAAGGACTCCTTACCTGAAATGCAGCACTACTCACATACTCACTGCTCTCCCCAAAAATGTAGAACTTAAGTTACTTTCAGATGTAGCTGTCTAAGAAATACAGAAATAAAATTCAGTCTTTGTCTCTGGGTATACAGTACCAAAGGAAATCTGCTTCTAGGAATGTATTTAATGAACCCCATGTTTTAATTAAAACCAATTTTTAATAACTGACCTTGTTTCAAGAAGAATTTTAAGTTTAGACCTCAAACATTGCTAAAAGACTCCGTATCTGACATTCAGTTCTCAGTTTCCACCTGTATGAAAAACCTAAATCTGGCTGAACTGTCAATATGACTCAGGGTATTGTGAACTAATTGAATTAATTCACTAATTGTGAATTAATTATTTAATTCTTTATTATTATTGTTTAATATTATTATTAATTATTTATTATCTTAATTATTTAATTATTATTAGAATTAGCTTAGACAGGAAATTCCTTCACAAAAGTGAGAGAAATACAACAGGTGTAAACAAACTGAAAGTTTCAAGATTTGTTTCTTACCTATTTCCTTCAGCTTCAGTATTCAGTGAAGAGTTTGCTGCTTGCTCTCAGGACTTACTGCAGAGGAGGAATAAAAGCACTTGAGATGGGAGAGTGGATTTCAGCATGAGAGCTGCCAGCCTGATTTGGGGTGGGGTTGTTTCTTCTTAAATAATATTCTCACCTGCTCTGTATCTTGTGTGTTCCACCCCAGTGTGGAATCACAGTGGCCAGAATAATTCTCAGTTCCTTTTGCAACAGCAGCCAAGTCCTAATGCTCACAGGACAGGTGACAAAATGGCAAAGGGATGTCTTTCCTAAAGCCCTTAATGAATTACTCTCCTAACTCCCCCAGTCAGACCTGTAAAATCTGGAGGCTGGGATGTTTAATCTCCATGGAAGATGCTGAAAGAGCAGAAGTGGAGTTAGCCAAAAATGAAACAGCTTTTAGTTTGGGGTTGGTTGGTTTGTTTGTTTTGCTAGTGAATCTTTATGTACCGCTTGCTGTGCACTGCAGAGTTTGCAGCTACATCTCTGTAAGTGAAATGAACTTAAACGCTCAATGAATATTTTATCAGTCTTTCATTTATGCCAAGTTTCATTTCTTCGGTTTTCCTGGATATGAGACCTTGAAGAGCCTGCTGAATATCTGAGATAGAAGCATCCAAGTGAAGACAGTTCTTGAGTACAGCAGTTTTACAGAAGAGCAGATTTCCACCAAACTGTGCAGTGTCACTGGCACTGAGGTGGGAAAACAGCTGCTCTAAAGCCCAAAAAAAGACTGAATGTATGGCCTGATTGTCACCATCTTTAGTACACAGCTAAAAACCTCTAAAGGCTTCTCCAAAATTCTGAATGCACTTAATACCCCAACACAACAGAAGGCAGATGTGAGGTGCATCAGAAAGCTGAGGGGACACAAGGACACAGGCAGTGCTAAAGGGCAGCGTTAGCTGAGTGTCCCTGCACCTCCCAGCCTGTCCCAGCCCAGGTGACACACCTCAGTCACACTCCAAGTCACTGCCTTTCTGCAGGGACACACAGAGCTGTTCTCACAGCTTGGGGCCAGCTACCTGCACCGCTCTCTGGCTCAGGGCATCTTTTGTACAGCTGGAGTGCTGGGGCACAGCTCCTCTGACAAGGGCAGGAATTCTGCCTCTTGGAGCAGCTCTGCCCTTGGGTTGGAGTCAGCCTTTGGCTCTTGAGCATTTAAAACACTGGAGCTGACAGGGGTCCCCTCACAGAGCCTCTGTCAGCACGAGGCTGACATGGCTGCATGCTGATTTGGATGAGGCTGTAACTGAAAACTAGGCACCCCTCAAGCTCTGCTGCTTGTGGTAGATACCTGTAATTATAGTTTAAGAAACCATGGAATCGGTTTTCTTGATCCTGGTGGTGGGGTGAAGGAGCCCTGGGCTGTTCCACAGCGGATCTGTGAAGCTGCAGGGGGCAGGAGGAGGAGGGAAGTGTTCAGTTTGCACAGGAGAGGAAAGGCCAGCTAAGTTCTAGTGCTCACCTCAACACTCTCCATGTTCCACAGGAAGAAGTCATCCTGCCTGGATGCTTCCACGTTCTTCTAGAAGCCTTTTTCCTGCCATGCAAACAGGAATTTATCTGCTGCCCAGCCTGCCACCCCTCCTCACATGCCTCTATCACCCAGCAGCTTCAAAAAGGCACAGCGATTGCACACACTGGAGTCACTGGGAAACTTCTGGAGCCCATTCACCATCTGCCACAGAACCAAAACCAGCTTTTCCTTTGTCCCAGCAGCCTCATAGTGGTGTTACTGCTCTGCCAGTGCTTCAGTTTGCCATCACATACCTCCTGGGTTTTTATTTTTTGCATTCCCAGAGAGCAGCATGTGTGTTGTAGTAACTGCAAGAGTTTTCTGCCAGTTCAGAGGCGTTTCCAAATTGCAACTAAATCCAACCTCCTGGCTGCATTTTTATTCTGCTTTATTTGCATTTGTGTTACACAACTGCAATGAAGCCAGACAATAATAACACACCTCCCTCACCTGATCCATTTGTTTGGCCTGGCAAAGGGAGAAGTCCTCACACCTTTCCTAATAACCCACTTTGTAAATGTGTACCTTGCCCAAGGCTCTGGGGTTGGGCTGGATGGCAATGGATGGGATCTCTCTAAAGCCAGGGGTAGCCCTTCAGAGAAGTGGCCTGAATGCTTTTACACAAACGTTTCAGCAGAGGGGATGTTTCACAGCTGGAGTGCCAAGGCTCTCCTGTTTTGGAGAGTAATGCTGCTGTTTCTCCAGCCCAGCCATGGAGAGCTTCCCCAGCTCCTGTGTGCTGTCCATGGCAGTGAGGATGACACCCTGCAGTGCCAGTGCTGGGGAAGGTGCCCACAGCCCATGGGCTTTGTTCTGCCCTCGGCTGGCACTGCCCAAGCAGCTGGAGAAGCCACACAGGCACTGCCATTTCCATAGAATGGGGTTGTCCCACTTCTAATGTCCCGTACAAATCTTGGCTGCTGAGAATGGGTTCAGCAGCTCTGCCAGAGCCAGACAGCTCAGAGGATCCCAGCACTGCTCCTGAGCGAGCCTGGAATGGGACAGGAGCAGCTGAGGCCTTACCTAGTGCTGGAACAAAGGAAGCAAGAGCTCACATTTTCACAGTTCTTCCTCAATTCAGTCTCATTACCCATCAGCAGTAACTGCAACAGGGGCCTGCAGACTAGCAGTGTGAATTCCTGTTACAGAAAAAACCAAAACAATTGGCATTATCTCCTAAACATTCCACCAGCACCAATTTCTGTACATCACAAAGATCTGAGCAGCAGAGCATGAGTACAGTGATCAAACACACCAGGGAAAATACACAAGTTATGGTTTAGTCTCTGGTAGTTTTCCTTATTAACTGTTTATTCCCGTGCCTGCTGTGATTAAAAGCACACTGACTTCTCAGCTGCTGTTTGTTTGCTGTTACAGCTGGACAGCGTCACTTCACTAATTCAGGCCGCCAAAAATCTCATGAATTCTGTGGTGCAGACAGTGAAGATGTCCTACATCGCATCCACAAAAATCATCAAGATTCAGAGTCCTACCGGCCCACGACATCCAGTTGTCATGTGGAGAATGAAGGCTCCAGAGAAGAAGCCCCTGATTAAAAGAGAGAAGCCAGAAGAAATCTATGCTGCTGTCAGGAAAGGTTCTGCAAAGAAGAGAATCCATCCTGTGCAAGTCATGAGTGAATTCAGGGGCAGAGAAATAGTCTAATAGTTTGCCATTATGTCTTCCTATTTTAAATTTCCAATGATTTTTCATCTTTTCCCCCACTTATTTAATAATTATGTATGTCAATGTTTTGCTCTAAATCTGTAAGGTAACACTTGCTGAAGGGATTTGAAATGCTGTTGGGTTGATTAGAAGCACAGAGGTGAAAAGGATTCTCCTGCAGGGCCAAGCTGCGGTGTCTGTGTGCTTTCCTTCAGCAGTGTCAGAGGTGCTCCCACTGCAGCACAGCTGCTTTGTGGCAAAGCATCTCAAACTGCTGCTCAGCCCAGCCCAGCCCCTCAACCTGGCTCCAGCATCCAAGGGCTGTGCCTTGGAAATGGGAGCCTGAAGATGTTTGGTGAACCACACGAAGTGGATGGAATGATGCACTACAAAAAGCACTGCCTGCGAGCCAGCAGGGATTGCAGCTCTTCAGGAGGCCTTTGGAAGCACGAACAGGGATCTGTGTTCTGCTCCCTGCTCTCTTCTGTGAGCCCCAGTAAATCTGCTGAGTGCCAGATAAATCAGACATTAACAATAAAAAACTTTCCTAATTGCTGCAAGAAAGAACAACTTTGAAATAAATCATTATTCTGATACCAGTGTGTGAAATACTCAAATATTGACTCTTAGCAATGGGGAGACTTTTCTAAAGCAAGTGTAGGGAATTAAGTTCCTTCTGACAGATGAGTCCTAAATGCAGGTGGAGTGCTGGTGAGTGCTGAAGGGCTGCACTCAAAGTGTGTAATGAGGGTAAATCCTGCTAGGCCAGACCTGTGCAGTGTACTTACAAAAACCTAATTTTTCTAAATACTTTGGAATCTGAAATCCACTTGTATTTATTTTTTTAGACAGACCTAACTTGCCTTTTTGCCACGTCATGCCTTTTTCCCAGACTGCAGTTGTTACTCAAGATGTCTTTGCTTGGCCATTCATGGAATCCTTTGGCCTCCTACATTTGCTGAGGTGAAGGCAGAGCCAGAGCTCGCTGTGTGTCAGTGCCTGCCATTGTGGGATGGCTCCACACTCTGGGCTGCTGCCCCAGGTCATTTCTGACCATGTTTGCACAGCAGTGCCTGACCCAGCCCAGTGTGGGCAGCAAGAACAACCCTGAGCTGTGCCCTTCCCTTGGGCTGCTCTGTGTGTAAGCTCAGGACTCTGTGGGCTGTCAAACTGCAGTGAATTAAAATTTCTACAGATGGTTCTTCCACCTTCCCTGACAGTGCAACTAGTTAATGGAATGAAAGGGGAAGTGTGGAAGAAATTCACCTTTTCCAGCTGCAGTTCCCTCCAGGCTGTTTGCATCAAGGTCTCAGCACTGTCTCCTGCCTTTGGGGGCTCCTCTGGGGCTCCAGAGGCAGCAGGGGAGCTGGCACAGCCCTGGGGTGAGTGCCCTGAAACCCTCCTGGCTCCAGTGACACCAGGGACCCTGGCACCAGTGACACCGGTGCCACCAGTGACCCTGGCTCCAGTGATACCAGTGACCCCAGTAACACCAGTGACCCCAGCACCAGTGACACCAGTGGCACTAGTGACCCCAGAGACCCTGGCTCCAGTAATACAAGTGACACCAGAGACCCTGGCTCCAGTGACCCCAGCTCCAGTAACACCAGTGACCCCAGCACGAGTGATACCAGTGACCCCAGTGGCCACGGGCAGCGTTCGGAGCCGATGCCCTGGATCCCGTTACTGATTTAGCCCCGAGGAGCTGCTGTCAGTGCTGTGGGAATGGTTCAGTGGCTGCAGCTCAGGGCCTGCCAGGTGTGCTCACAGCATCAGTATCCCCACAGCACACTCCATGCTTCATTCCATCTCCTGCCTGCACTGCCAGGCTCTGCTCCTACCCTGGCCATGCTCAGTAGCCAGTTTGAGCTCAACACACCAATTTATTACACACAGACCACCCTCTAAATGAACAAGGAATTTAAAAGCCACTGCAGGTTGTTGAGAAGAGCCCAAAGAATGGTGTTTCAATCTAGACTAAATTTATCTTGGGTCCCACTCAGTGCCAAGTGAAAAGGTTTATTCCTGGCTGAGAAGTCCTGGAGCTGTAAGGAGCCCAGCTCATTACCCCTCACAGGCAGTTTGGAAAGCAGGGAACCACCACTACCCTGCCACCAGGGAGAACTGGGAAGGAGGATGAACTGCTCAGTAAGTTCTGGTCCAAGCTCCTCATTCCCTACTAGCCCAGTTTCTGTCTGTCCCTCACCAGCACATCCCCCCACGGTGCCCTCACAGCTCAGATTATTTCATCATTATTTCATGCCCTGGCCTCTCCCCATTGCCACATTACAGAGCAAAGTAAAGGAAATTTTCCCTAGAGCACTGAAAGGTGAGAGCCCCATTGTTGAAGCTCGTTAGTTTGAGAGGACAGGGCTGTGTCATTTCCATGAATCCCAAAGATTTGAATTTTTTTTTTTTCCAAACAGCTGATTTACTTTTTCTCCCTCCATAGCCTGGTACCACTAGGGAAACTCCAGAGCTGCATCTCTCCTAAAGAGCACCAGTGAGCAGCCTGCCATCAGGCCTGGAGTGGTGTTTTACAGGTCCTGCAGCGCTTTTTGAAAGGTTTGTGTCTTTCATTTCCTGAGTCCACAACTGAAGCTTTTGAGAAATGTTTATACAGCAAGTTCTTTCATGAACCTTTCAAAGTTTTCTTTTTCACAAAAAATAAAAAAATGTCGTTATCAGCAGCAGATAATAAAATTCTATGTAAAACCTGTGTTTGCTTCCAGATGTTGCTTATCCCTTGTGTGCTGCTCCTGGTTGAAGTCTGGTGCCTTAGCAGTGCGTGAGGCTCAGGGAATGAGCTGAATGAGCCCTTGTTGCCTCTGGCTGCATTCAAAAGCAGAAGGGAGCAAGCAGGCAGTGCTGGCAGAGGCAGAGGGGTCCCAGGACAGCGCTGGGCTCTCGCAGAGTGCCCAAGCTGTGCTGTTCCTGCCGCAGCCCTGCATGCCAACATTGGGGCTGGAGAAGCAGCTCTGGCACAGCCAGGGCCCAGGGAGCCCCCCCGGCCCCCTGCAGGATCCTGTGCAGCATCCAGAGCCCTGCCTGGGTACACACAACAGGGAATGACCCCACTGCCCCTGGGGCTGGGGACACAGCACAGCTAGAGCACTCATTTCATCTGCAATTCAACAGATGAGTGATTAAATAATAATTAACCACCAAGCAGACGATACTACACACTTGTGTTTAGTTAAAGAGCAGGAAATGCAGCGGCAGTGTTAATTATAAAGCCACAGGTTTAGTGTCGTGCACTGCAAGTGGTGGTGCTGCACTGAAAAATACCACCTTCCAAATAATAAATATAATAAACCACAACTCACTGGGAGCTTTCTTGGCATAAAGGAAAACTAAATACATCCAAAGCAGAAATGGCAAACAAACCATGAAAATACTTTAAAGCCCCCGATGTCTCATCAACAGGAGGAATGTGCTGTTGTGGTCCAAGGATCTGGAAGCTGAGGAACTCATTTCCTAGAAGCAGGAGTTGGGATGAAAACTCGCAGTGCAGGAGGTGGATGCAGCAGAGATGCCCTGTGCAGGATGCTGCACCTCTCAGTTCCCTGCACTCGGGGCTGTGGGACAGGCCCTGCTCGTGCAGGGTTCATGGAGCTGCTGCTCCCTGCTCCAGCAATCCCCTGTGCCTCGGTTGCTGCATTCCCTGAGCTCCAGCACTGGATGGGAACCAGTGCATGGGACAGGAAACTGCTCCCACACTGCACCACACCGAACCAGCCAGCATGGCTGAGAGAATGGCAGAAAACAGCAAAAGGTCTTTTGTGCCTTCCACTCCCCTCTACAAACCCAGTCTCATCCTCTCAGCCATCACTGGGGCCGGGGGCTTTGCAGCTTGCTGGGGATGTGCTCCTTAGAACCTCAAATGAAAACAAGTCAATAAAACAGCCAGAGCAACTTGCTGTCGGGAAGGTTTCCATCAGTTTATCCAATTGAATTTTGGGGTGCATATTGCAAGATTTTGATTTAACTCACCTGCACTAAGGAGTGAGCTGAGGACAGAAAAGAGAGGACTAGAGCTCTGCTACTTTACATCTTGGGTACAAACTGAAAGGGAGAGCTGTAGATGAGATGTGGGGAAGGAATTATTCACTGTGAGGGTGCTGGTGATGCCTGGCACAGGTTGCCCAGGGAGGCTGGGGTGCCCCAGATCCCTGGAAGTGTCCAAGGCTGGATAATGCCCTGAGTAACCTGGGATAGCAGCAAGTTTTGGACAAGATGGTCTTCAAGGTTCACTCCAAGCCCTCAGCATCTGTGATTCCATATGGATTATACAGGTGCCACAGACTTTGTGCAGAAATATTCACCACAGAGAGGGGCAGAGCCCAGGCACACACTGCAAACCACCTGCCCCAGCTGCCAGCAAAATAACCCTCTCTTATGTACCTGTTTATATTTTATACCTATTACAACACACATTAGTAATGACTATTGAACACATTCATAAAATACAAGT